AGGGGCCAGCTCGTGGGTTAAATTAAGAGCAGCAGAGGAGGTTCAACTGCAACAAAGGTCGCTAGAAAACCTAGGAAGAAGACGGTTAAAGATTTCAAACCGAAACCTTAAGAGGCAAGTTCTTCTTCTATCTCTTTCCCTTTGATTCGTGTTCAATGCATGCCTAGGTTAATTCCAGAAGTAATCAGAGATTAAATTGATCTTTATGCATGCTTGATTGGAATTAAAAATTAAGTTTATGTGTTAATATGTGTTCTTGTTTTTTTTCCTGAAACTTCTTGAATGAAACCTTGCTTTAATTTGAGTAAAAGATGCATAAAGACTCTTTATAATTAATAAAGATCATTGGGAACTTAGAATAGAGGCTTAGGACCTGTAACAAAGGTGATCAGAATGATCAGAGGACGCCGGAGACGAAAAAGAAGGAGCATAGCAGGTCAAGAGCCGACTCCCAGGGGCATGGAGCCGGCTCTCATAGTGTTTTAGTATGGTTCTCAGGGAAAAAGCCGTTTCCCTAATAGAGGGAGCGGCTCCCTCATGGACAGAGCCGGCTCCCACTTGGAGGGAGCCGGCTCCCAATAGAACAGAGCCGGCTCCCAATTAGGGGAGCCGACTCCCAACAGGGCAGAGCCTGCTCTCGTATTTTAAGAGCATGCTCTCATGCTGGGACTTCTAAGGAATGGCTATTTTTTATACTGTTGTTGGATTTTGGGGTTCCGGGGTTGTTTTGGATGATCATGGGGGTTTTAAATAACTATAATGGACTTGTTAAAATCCCTAAAAGCATAATCTATATTTTTATGCTAATATCTTGAACAATATGCAATTTTAATTAAATTAGCATATTGTTAATGGATGATTTATTTTACTTAATATTACTTTAGCAATGTAAATGGATATTGGATGACGTTAAGCTTATGTTGGAAGTATAATATAATCATGTGCTATTTTTGATTTTATTATGCTAAAGATTTAATTAGTATGAAATTCTAATTGAATTTGCATACTGATAATGGAGGATTTAATTGCTTAAATTTACCTTAGCAATTAGTATGGATGTTATATGATTCTAATCATAGACTAACAGTATAATACGATCATGCTATTGTCTGATTTTTATTATGCTTAATTCTAGAATTAATTGATGTGTTATTTTAATTATTTTATCAATTATTGGACTGTATGGATGTAATGCACTGGTATGGGACGATGGCATTCTAGGGATGGAATAACTAAAGAAGTTAAATCCTACCTATTCTGGTATAAGGGAATGGATTAACTACAATGTTAAATCATACTTATATTGATGTCAAGTCAACGGAACAGTTGGATGACATACTAGATGTTTATTTTATGTTCTGGATTAGAATAGATTATATATATATATATATATATATATATATAGTTATGAGCCATGATATGAGCTTGAGTCTCAGGATCATGGTTAGGGTGTGTATATTGCCTAGGATAGATAACCGGATATAGTAAACATCTGGGTGCCCTGGTAGCTCTAGGTACTCATGCCCACTTTATGTGCAATTTGCATGTTGCCTTTTATTCAGGTTGAGACAGACATATAGTCTAGTGAGCGTCCTATAGTGTGTGTGTATAAATATATATATATATATATATATATATATATATACGGACTACTAGTTATTGTTGGATTGACTAGGATGTATATGTGTATCAGATCTTTGCTTGGACTGTAGTAAAGTAGAACTTGTTTGTGAGCCTGACCCACCATTATTTTTTAGGTATTCGTTAGGAGTAGAGGTTGTTCGTGCTGAGTTGGGATCAGTCTACTTCATTCTTCCGATTCTACTTAGGAGATTCGTTTATTTTCAGCTTTCAGTTTGGATTTTCTAAGGGTCCACATAGTATGGATTCCCGAGTTGTATTATTTGGAGGATCAGTTGTATCAAAAGAGTTTATTAATTAATGAAAATTTATTCTGAGGATTTATTATTGGATTATCATTTTAGTTTCTTTTCAACATTTTATTTATTCTTATTTATCATACTTGTATTCTGTGTTCGATTATTGCCGATTTGTTTTTGATATCCTCGGGTAATCGGGCGTGAGCCTGGCCAACCCGCATTCAGAAATCTGGGGATATCACATTCTCAGACTTCTCTCCATCTCTCTTGAATCCAAGTTGGTCGAACCCATTGGTTAAGTGGTTCAAATCACTAGACCCAAAATCTATAGCAATGAACCATATTGCAATTGGTCCAAGCCAAATGGTTCAGACCAAACCCAATTCATTTTTTCTATAATATAAGTGCATTTTTAAGTTAGAGAGAGTATTACATAAACAAGGTTCGCCATAACCATGAGTTTGGAGTGCTCTAACAGTGGATGAAAATTGTTGTATCATGGGAGATAATCACCTTAGAGTCCATTAGCATCACGCAAACGAAGCGTAAATTGTCTTAAGGACATAGTATCCAATAGTGTTCAGTATGAAAGAAAAAAATTGGATGGAAGGGGGATAAAAATGGATGGATAAGACAAAGAAAAAAATTGGATGGAAGGGAGATAAAAATGGATGGATAAGACATCTCTACGGAAGAGATTGTGTATTTTTACTTTTTGTTCGGTTGGATAGAAGAGAAAAGAATAAGGTTATAATTTGCTATATTCGTTAAGAGATAAGGAAAGAGAAAGTTTTAATTATTTTTACCATTATATCCAATAATATTTATAATACTGTAATTTATAGAGAATAATACTGTAATTTAAAACTTGTATAATTTAGGATATTATTTAATTTAAAAATTCTATAATAGTCCCTTTATCTTCTGCCCATTTTTAGCCAGATGAAAATTTGTAAAGAATGAAGGATGGGTCATTTAGTAGGTGTGTTCAAAAAATATGGTAGAGCGAAAAACTGGACTGGGAGGTTTAGTCCAATTGTATAGTCGTTTGGTCCGGTCACAAGCCCAAAATTATGGAACCATAATTTTTCAGTCTGTTCCTAATTTAGGTCCTGCTGGACCGGCCCGGCCCTGACTAAACCGTTATTATATTATATAACTTATATTGTGGCAGAACCATTACTATGTTATATAACTTATATTATATGTATGTATGTGTATGTGTGTGTGTGTGTGTGTGTGTGTGTGTATCATACCCTAAACTTAAATCAGTAAATCCTAAAGTAAAATCTCACTTCTCACTTTCTCAGTTCTCAGCGGCGCGACACTACCCCAAATCCCCAATTTCAACTGAACCTGTAGAACCGTACCGAACCAAACCAGTCTTTTGTGGTTTGGTTTGTTTTGGTTCCATGGGCATTATGGTTAGGTCTGGTTTTAGAAATAGTAGAACCGTTATAAATTATTTGATCCTAAAAAACTCCAAAACCAGTCCACATTAGACCGTGTGCACCCCTATCATTTAGTGAACTATTCTCCTTTCTTTCCTTGTTTCATCTATACCAAACAAAGGAAGTTCATTCCTTTCTATTTTTTCTCCACACTTCTTCTTTCCTTCCTACCGAACATAGCATTAATTAGTTATTAATATTTCTTAGCATATTATTAATTATCTTATAACATATTATTTTAAGATTTGTTATATCTTAAATATAGGTGTTGGCAAATAATCTGTGAATTCGCAAATCCGATCTGATATGGTCTGTCTAGATCGGATTGGATTGCTACACCTACGGATCGGTGGCGGATTAAAAAAAAAATCGAATCTGTAGCTCACAAGTTAGGCAATTAAAAATCCGATTATATCCGTGAGTCCGATCCAATCCGATCCGTAAAATATATATCAATATATTTTTTTAAAGAATATATTAGCTAATTTAATTAGTTAAAGATAATTTAATGGACTCTAAAGATGTATTAGTTAATAATTATTTAAATATATGAATTAATATTAATAAATTAAAATTTTATCTATGGGGTATGGTTAAAAGATAAATAAATAATAAATAATATTAATTATAAAAATAATAATGGATAATTTAGATAAAACTCAATCCGCGGATCCAATACGATCCAATCCGTTATTAAACGGATCCGATCCGATTCGATCAGTAGGAGAATGGATCGGTGGCTAGTGTTTATTTTTTAATATATTTTTAATAATTACTTTTTTTCACACTTTAATTATATCAAACTATCACCAAATATGACGTGGATATTTCTTGTTCACGGTTGAATAAGACATCACTCTATAACTCTAGCTATAGTTATATTCAATCACAATGTAGTTTAATTAATTAGTTGGTGGCAAGGAAAGACCTAATTAAGGTCCTGTGGGGTCATTTGCCCCTACTGGATTTTTAGATAATTCTATTTCTACTGATATAATCTTGAGTAATTACATGAATCCCTCGTAACTTTATCTTTTGCCTTCATTGTGGTTTTTTTTTTTTTTCAATTAATTTAGTTGATTCTGTGACTCATGTATGTGCACATGAATAATAGTCGAAAACTCCATCATCTCTAACTATCCATCTTGACTAGTCCTTGCTCCATCATCTCTAAAGTATCCATCTTGAGAGCATTCGCACCAGCCTCTCCGAATTTTGGCTTTCTAAAAATGCCACATCAGCTTTTCCAAGAGCCATATCAGCAATTCCAAGAGCCACGTCAGCAGTTTTCGCTCTCCAAAAACATGCACTCCATCAAGTTATCTGAATTTTCGCTCTAAGAAAATAATAATAATAAAAAATTAAAATTATTATTATTATTTTTTTAACTTTTCCTAAACGGCTATATTTTTAAAAATTGAATTTTTAACCGCTATATTTGTAACAGCTATATTTTTAAAATTTGAATTTTTATCAGCAATATTTTTAAAATTTAAATTTTTAACGGCTATATTTGTAATGGCTATATTTTTAAAATTTGAATTTTAAATGGCTATATTTTCATCTTATATAATGAAACTCATTTGCTCATTTGAAAATTATCACTATAACAATCTCTCTCCATTGTAGCAAAATATCATCATCCATCTTTTTCAATTTCAAAATTCGAATGGCTTCGTCATCACAAGCTTTTCCTTTGGCAGACTCTAATTCTTCATCTTCTTCGTCATCCTCTTCGGAAGGTGATCCTTTTGGGGCGTTGATTCAACAGGATCAAGACGAATTCTATGAGATTATGAATTCAATGAGGCCAGAGATAGTCGAGCAAGTATTTCAAGTCCGTAAAAAGAAGCGGTACATTCATCGTGACCGAGAGGGAAGCCACTATCAGCTAATGAAAGACTACTTCAACGAGAATTGTACATATCCACCGGAGTACTGTCACAGGCAATTCAAGATGCTACGAGAAATTTTTCTTCGTATCCTTAATGATGTCAAAGCTTTTGATGACTACTTTGTCCAAAAAAAGGATGCAACTGGTCGTCTGGGGTTATCTTCTATACAGAAGATGACAACTGCTGTTCGTATACTCGCATATGGTTGTGCAGCCGATCACTATGATGAGTATATTAAAATCGGCGAGAGCACTGCCATTAAATGCTTGAAGGCATTTTTTAATACTATTGTTGCTTTGTATGCAGAGGAGTATATGCGCCCACCCAACGAAGCCGATATAACACGGTTGCTTGAAGAAGGGGAGCAGAGAGGTTTTCCGAGTATGCTTGGTTCTATCAACTGTATGCACTGGGAGTGGAAGAATTGCCCAGTGGAGTGGCAAGGCACACATAGGGGACGATCTGGTAAGAATACTCTCGTATTGGAAGCAGTTGCCTCATAAGATTTGTGGATCGGGCATGCATTCTTTGGAATGCCGGGTTCACACAATGATATAAATGTGTTTGATCATTCCTCGATATTCAACGGCATCATCAATGGCCAATTACCTCCGGTTAATTATGTAGTGAATAGACATCACTATAGAATGGGGTATTACCTGTCTGATGGTATATACCTTAAGTGGGCAACTTTGATGCAGACCATCCCGCACCCAACCACTACAAAAGAAAAATTATTTGCTCAGCGACAAGAGGCAGCAAGAAAAGATGTGAAACGGGCTTTTAGGGTATTGCAGATCAAGTGGGCAATAACGCAAGGACCAGTGCATTACTAGGAGAAAGATGACTTGCGCCTCATAATGAAAACGTGCATCATCCTTCACAATAAGATCATTGAAAATGAGCGTCATGCAAATGTTGGAAGATGGACTCCGCCACCGGAGGATACAATCCCGATTCCCACTTTAAGTCGATGCCCATCAGTTTTAGCGGCACACATATCCTCTCACCAACTTCATATTCACAACAGAGAGACAAATACGCGGTTAAGGAACGATTTGATGGAAAATTTGTGAAACCGCTATGCTGATAAAGATGTTTAATTTATGTTGCATTTTATTTGCTTTTAAGATGTTACGACATTTCATGTACTAGAATTTTATTATGTAATGGTTTTTTAAGATTAAAAATAATGAATTGGAATAAGAAAATAAGTATTAGAAAATTCTATGGGAATAAGCAGATGAATTTGTAATTTTTTTTTTCTTTTTTACAAAAAGTGTTAAAAAAAAGTTTTATTTATTTTTTTTGGCCCAAATAAATAAGGATTACAAAATAAGGATTAAAAATAATGAATTGGAATAAGGAAATAAGGATTCAAATTTACAGTAAAAAAAAAAAAAAAAACCAACAACAACAACAAATTTTAAGGAAAAAACCAAAAAAAAAAAAAAGCTTTTTGAATTTATTTTTGGCCCAAATAAATTTCAACTTTAAGGATTACAAAATAAGGATTAAAAATAATGAATTGGAATAAGAAAATAAGGATTACAATTTAAAGCAAAAAAAAAAAAAAAAACAAATTTTAAGGAAAAAAAACCAAAAACACAAAAGCTTTTTGAATTTTTTTTTGGCCCAAATAATTTTTTTCTTTTCGATAAATAGTGCCTAAACAATATATTTTTTATTTAATGAATTTTATTTTATTTTTTTCCCAAAAAAAAGAGCTCATTTGAACCTGTTTGGTGCACTGTTACACCACTATTACAAAGTGACAAAAGAAAGGCAACCAAACGGCGCCGTTTTGGACCCATAAAAAACAAAAAAAAAAAAAATACCCCGATCGCGGGCCGGCAGCGCCCGCGAGCCTCAAATGGGCCCTACCATTTTGAAGAGGCCGCTGGAGAACCAAAAGCAGGTTTGGCTCGCGGAATAAGGCTTCCGTTAGTGGGCTGCGGATGCTCTGACTAGTCCTCGCTCCATCATCCATGGCTCTCAAGTCTTAATTTATGTGATTGAAAAAAAAAAGGCAGGCATAGTATATTTATTTAGAAATTGAAATATACAAAGTTAGTAGTGTAGATTATTTTTTTCTCATTAAAAAGTTAAGAACAATATACTTCCAGAAGTAAAGAAGATACTAATGAGTTACTAATACAACATTTAGTGGCATATTTAATAATTTTGCAATATTTATAAGTTGAGAAATATGTATTTTGCCAAAATATTATTAATTTATAATTAAGTTAAATATTATTTTAATTTAACTTCATTATTGTTCAAAGTTACCCCCACTAAAACAAAATTTTGGGTCTATCACTGATTGGTGGAAGGGTGGTAGATTAATCGGACTAGAAAAATGGACTGAAGGAATAGAAGATGTAAGTGAGGAAATAAATGTGCTCTTCCTTCATAAACTAGAAAACTATAAAGTTAAATATTATTTTAGGCTTCATTTGGATGGGAAGATTTGTAGGGATTTGGAAAGAAAAGAAAAGAAAGGATAAGGAGTGTTGTGTTTGGATAAGATGATTTGAAGGGGAAAGAAATATCCCTCCAAATCCCTCATTTGGAATCCTAATTGACAAGATTTGGAGGGATTTGGAGAGAAAGGGAGCCAATTCCTAAAGTATCCCTCCCACGAAATCGCCGGAAGTTACAAAGATCGTCGGAAAAGTCGTCATAAAAGTCGCCAGAAGTTTCAGAGATCATCGGTACTTCTCTTTGGCCGTAAAACGACTTGGGAAGAAAGAGACCGAGATGGAGAACCAAACCCGCGATGGAGAAGGAGGCTCAGCAGATGAGGCAAAGAGCTCGCTGGAGTTACTAAAGGCGTGGCGGCCTGAGATGGTGCCAGAAAATATAGAGAAAAAGAGAGGGTGTGGCTCGCGGTGGTGGGGTTGAACAGAAGGGAGAAATGAGATGGGGGCTAGGGTTTTTGAGGGGGCTTTGGGGGACCACCAAAACCAAAACCCATTTCCAGAATTCACTAATCAATTCATCAAATCCCAATCTCTCTAACAATCGAATATTTGAGCTCAATGCATGCAATGAAATTAAATTGAAAGACCAATCATATGTCATTTTCACAGCAACTACAATCCGGCAAGAAATTACCCTAATCAATTCATTAAATCCCAATCTCTCTCATAGTTGACCGTTCAAGCTTAATGCAAGTGATGAAAGAAAATTGAAAGATCAGAGATTAGAACTTAAGAGAGAAGATTAGTTGCAAACTTACAAGGGCTAATGTGTCCACAAGAAACAAGTGCTTTCCGTTGGATTTATCTTTCAGAGAAACAATTCCTATTGTGTGGATTTATTTTTCTCTATTTATGACACACACACACACACACACACACTCTCTCTCTCTCTCTAAATATATATACATGTATATAGTAGTGTATGATTTTCTCTCACCCAACTCTTGTTTTTTCTCTAAGGGTAAGATGGTAATTGTATTATTGCTAATTCCTTTCTTTTCTCTCCTTTGTGTTATCCAAATAACAATATTGCCAATTCATTTCTTTTCTCTCCTATCTATCCAAATATGAATATAAATTAGAGCTATCATTTCCTTTCTTTTCTTTTCTTTTCTCTTATAATCATTTTATTTCTTTTCTCTCATGTGTATCCAAATGAAGCCTTAAGGACTGCTTTTATGGATGCAGGGTTTTTGTGCCCATATCTCATTTTATGGTGATTTTGTTTGGGGTTTGTTCTATGTCATAGGGTTGTTATTTTTAATTGTGTTTTGTAGCTATTGTATGGCTGTTTCATATTGCTAGATTAAAAAACAAATCAAATTAGTTTAATTTAATTTGAATCTTACTCCCTCCGTCCTATATTAGTAGTCCATTTTTTTATATTTGGTTATCCCATAATAGTTGTTCTATTTCAAAAATCAATGCACTATTTTTATTAACATTCCCCCAATTTACCCCTAAAAGATAAAACATATTAAAGTGTCAAAATGGTGGACCTCGTCAAAGAATAACATTTAAAAAAGATAAATTTGGAAACCAATGTAATAAAAGTTAGTGTTTTAAAATGTGTGAATTTTGAATGTGGACGTCAATAATGGGACAGAGGGAGTATCTTTTACCACTACAAGTCACATATAATTAAATAACGTGTCCTTTCTTTTTAGATATTCGTCCAATTTTCCGTCCTTCCAATCCTTCCCTCTCCCTTCTCTCTTGCCAAATAATGGGAGGATACTCCATTATTCTCCTCTCCTCCATTAACCCTCTTCTTCTTTTTTTCTTTTTTTCTTTTTTTCTTTTCTAAAGTACTAATATTCACACCGAACACTTGCAATGAATTACCTAATCGAATAATTTTTAATTGATTATTTATACCAAATACAACTAAGTGGAGGGCTCCACTCCTTATTTATTATACAATTAGTCAATTAAAAAAATAGATCTATCAATTTATTATAACTATTTGGTGCAAGAATTATTTCCCTATATCCTATGATGATGTAATTTGCTAAATTCGAGATTGATGCTTCAAATTTTGACCAGCTTCAACTTAGCCAAGACTCGTGTTGAAGATGCAAGAAATTTTCTCTCTCTAAATTGACAGAGTTTCATTACACTTCAAACATTTTGATCCCCTTTTTCCTTCATTTTTCACCTATTTATAGATTGTTTACAATGTTCTAGAAGATCCCTAACTAACTTCATCCATCAGGCCCATCATTGAGGCTTTTGTATCCCTCGATCCATTCGTCATTCAGGCCCTTATCCTTACTCTTCGGCATTGGGCTTGCCTCATGGAAACTTGATTTGGGCCCATGTCATTTGCTTGGCCCATTCTTCATCATGTGGGTTAGATCCGGCCCACGCCGTCTTTGGGATCCTCATCGGCCCCCATAATCACTCCCTTATTAATTAGGATGTGATTATCAATAGATCTAATGATGACTTTGACAGCTAATGATGATTTGACGGCTCGAGACGATCACGTGGGACATCGAGCGGTCGGCCTCGGAATTAATGTCTTTAATATTTGAATCTTCTTAACTCCCTGAAGTCTCGGTTAATGGGACCACTTCCCCTTTATAAACCACTCTTCATATGCACATCTTCCCTTGTCGTACCCCCCACAAATCATTGTCAATCAATTTCAGTTCGTCCTCTCAAGGAAACTCAGATTTTTCTAGTCAATCCAAATATTCTCCGGCGAATCCAATGAAAGGTTCTTCTCTCTCAATTCTTTTGCAACATCCCTCGCTGATCTTCATCTTTTCAAGGTTAGTTTTGTTTATTCTTCTTAAAGTATTTGCACATTTTCCCAAAGATCATAACGGTCAGCGTCATGCCTATAGATTTGGATATTCTGCGTATGAAGCTCCATCTCCCTTCCAACATTCACCTTAGAGAATGTCCCAAAGACGTTAATGTCAAAACCGGTATCGGTCTTCTTCCCGGCGAAGTCTTATTTTCCCTTCATCACCTCAATATTATTAGATTCCCTCTCCACCCTTTCTTTTGCT